TGAATTTTGAAATGGCCAGTGTGTACCCTTCTGTGCTTCCGCTGCGTGATTGTGCCATTGTGATTTAATGTGCTGTGTAACGTAATTTGTCCTACCATGTCTGATATTAAAATCTGTACGACACACTTTGCAAAGGCGTGTGCATTGTCAATATGGCTTTCGAGGTACAAAATTAAATTCTTCTGTGCAGCTGTTGTTAAATTTAAAGTACATGTATATTTTATTTTTGCTACTACCTGCGCAGATATCAACAGTGCCACTGGGTTGTAGGTTGCCAAGTTGAGGTCACAAATGGGTTGACATTTTTTATGATGTCGATTGTGTGAGGAGGATGGATTTCATACAAGATCTGGCAACTGGACAACCTTGCAATATGTTGACGTGATTATTCATATAATGATGTTTGGGCCATAAGAATCACAGGAGTGTTACTGGAGGTGAATATCAAATCAAATACGCCCAGTGGGATTTTTTTATAGAAATATTAAAAATAAGAGAGAAATATGGGAAAATATTTAAACGTGATGATAGCGGGATAGAATGGTAAAATACGGGATAATCCCTGTAAAAACGGGAGAGTTGACTGGTATGGACACCATGTCTAGTTTCCCTTCTCAGGGAGGAATGGTTGCAGTTGTAACCTAGACGTCGAAGTGGGACTTGACCAATGCCCACTCCACTCGATGGATCAACCAGGTAGATTCAAGGCACGTCAACCCGCAGGGTGCAATAGGTGTCATAGTTTGCTTAATGGAACCACTCCCTAAGCCAATAACTTCTAATGGGAAAGGGAAGATACCCAGGCTTCTGTGCTCTATAGCAAGGGATATCCCTGCCTTTACCACCTTCCTCTCTGCCTTGCAGGGCAGGCATAACCCTTATAAGGCCTCAAGAGCAGAGCACTAAAAGAAAATGCTCAGCTATATCAGCACTTTGACAAAGCCCTTAGGAAATAGCTTACCAAAGGGAGTGTATTATCTACAAGTTTCGATATTACCACTACTTCCAGAGGGAGAATGCAGCCCATAACTTCTTCAGAAGGAATGCAAACACAAGAGCAGCATAACATAAATGGCAAAGACTCTTGCCATCAAACTCAAACCCTTATGAGAAACCGCAGGGAATCTACTCTATTCTAACTAACTTATATTACCATTATGCTTGTTGCCCAGTAACTCTCATCACCCAGGCTCTGAACCCTAAGGGGGCTGCAGGGGAGATGAAACCCTACTTAGAGACCCATACATAACTGGGGAAGAGCAGCTCATACAATGCTTTGTGTACCATGCAATCTACCTAAGACCTGCTCTTGCTTCATTTTTTTCTTTTAGCACTAGACCATAATATGCAATAAATAACAAAGAGGGACTCCTTCGCAGGTGAACCTCCACTTACTTGCATTATCGAACCAAGGCCAAAGTAGAGGACCCACCTTGCACAACCATTAGCCTGACTAGATTTCCTGACTATATGACCTTTCTTATTTTTTTATTTATTTATTTTTTAGTAAATCATTAAATTGTTTAGCGCTATCCTACCTTTCTGACATCTTATATGCAAGCCCCCAAGTCTCTGATCAGATGACTTTGACTGCTTCTAGGTCTAGATAAAAAATCCATCTTTTATCATTGTTGTGTAGTATACAGTGTGGTGTTTTAAATTGTGGTGTGGTGTTTTAAATGGTGCATAAATTAAAAGAGGGTCATAGCTCTGACTGCTTCAAAAAGACAAAAAATCATTCTACAAATAATGCAGTCATATGACTTGTGCACTTTACACACAAGTTTTCTAAGATTATACAGTGTGGTGTGAAGAAAGGATGCTCATACCTCTTCGGTTGTGTTCTCACTATGTTTGCAATATGAATCTTCTTCACACTTTTATATGTTCAAACTACTCATAATATTAGCAGGAATCCGTGAAATCTGTCTGCGGTTTTCTCCTCCTTTGTTACTTAATATGGTGTTGAGTACACTAAGCTTTCAAATCTATGCAAACAGAAGTTCTTGGATAATGTGAACATATGTTGAAGGGAAGATTTTCAGGGAATATTGACTTCAATATTAGTCGTTTTCTTAAACAAAACTATGTATGGTTTTAGAAGCCATAAAATAACCTGGATATGTTGCTAAACATATTTTAGCAAAAATCAAAGAGGTTTGGAGTGATTTGCTAAGGAGGCTAAATTTTCAGTTTTGGCTAAATTATTTGAATTATTATTTTTTTAAGTAAAGATTTAACTATTAATTAAAATTGTGTGTAAAATTGTGTTAAATGTTGTCAAAAGATTACAGCATCACTAACATTAAATGTCTTGAAGGAATGTGCTTTCACCATTTGTGATATTGACATGTCAATCTTTTTCTTATATTATAGGTTGGTCCAGCAGGGTCTCGGTTTGGTTTGTTAGCCTGTCTGTTTGTGGAGCTGTTCCAGGCCTGGAAGATGTTGGAAAAGCCATGGAAGGCCTTCCTGAAGCTGTTAGGCATTGTTATCTTCCTTTTCTTCTGTGGTCTTCTGCCCTGGATTGACAACATTGCTCACATCTTTGGCTTCCTCAGTGGTCTTCTCCTGTCCTTTACATTCCTTCCATATGTCACGTTTGGCACCTTAGACAAGTATTGCAAACGAGCTCTTATTTTGTTGTTGCTGCTTTCCTATTTAGGGTTGATGTCCTCACTTATTGTCTGGTTCTACATTTACCCTACAAACTGGCATTGGCTAGAGCATCTCACCTGCTTGCCCTTTACCAGCAAGTTCTGTGAACACTATGACATTGATCATGTGGTACACTAACTTTGTTTTTTGTAGACTGAGTTTTTTTCTAAAGACTGCAAGGGACTGAGTAAAACAGCAACACTGAGTAAAACAGCAAATAATGTCATACTGTATTTGAGGTGTAGCAATAGAACCAATAGAATGTATGTATAGTCCATTTATTGCCAAAGCCGTTCTGAATATTTCTGGATAATGTGCAGGTAAACTATGATGTGTTGTTACTGAAGCCTGTACTCCATCCCTTTAGCTTAAAATGTCCATCACCAAGTGGCTTCCAAAATTATTGCATGTGTAAACAGTGAGATTTATTCTGTCTTTTCATATGTTCTTACACGTTTAAAGACATGCATAAGGTTCTTAAAAAATAAGAATCTTTTAGAGTCATTTCACTGACTGGTTATGAATGATGGAGTTTTATGTTGAAGCTTCAGTGACGTTCAAAAGAATACTTTATTTTGTACTTCTGCAGACAGCTACAAACCTCTGGCTAGGCTAGTAAATATAGTTCCACATTAATGAACACACTAGTTTTGAGAACTGTAGCTTCCCATACTTTTTCTGGATTACAAGCATGTGTCCTCAGACAACTAAAAAGGAAATTAAATGGATGTGGCAGTAATTCCCTGAATAGTAGGGTCTGTTAGACATTTCACTTCTCAATGCATTTAATATATTTCATAAGTCATTTAATTTATCATTCGTTTTATCTATCTTTTTTTTCAGAATAGAGATACTGTTTTGCAATCAACAGAGAAACTGTTGTTTACAACCAGCTATTAATTTAAATAGGCGCACTGCATGAATTAAATCATGTGTGTATTCACTTGGCACAGAATGTATAAATTTGCGGTCTTCTGTCTCCTTTCATTGCAGTGTCAAAGTCAAATTCAGCTGTTGTTCTGATTGATATTCAGTGCATAATTGTTTACTGAGGACTCCACTTGTGCCTTAAAAAAGAACAGGCACCTGAATTGAATAAAAAAAAAATCCGGATTGAATCTGATAATCTGGAATATTTTGGTATATTTGAAGGTGTACAAATATGATTGCAGGTGGAACAAATAACTAGTGCTTGAAGTAAAAATAAAGTTTGTAATTTTTTTGTTAAACAAATGCCTTTATATTGATGTCCTTCACACTTTGTTTAAAAAAGTTTTTCTTAAATTACTAATTCTCTGTGCTTTATTTAACAAATAAATTAATTGACAATCCAGAATAATTACCCTGTGAACGCTACAGACATTTACACAAAGAGTTCAAAGAGCAATCATTCTGAAAAATAGATTCTTTATTTCTTTTTACTTACAAAATGAACAAAATCATAGATGTCTTGATTCAAGACTGTGGAGGCATAGGTGGTGTATTTCTACAGGGAAAGGCAAATGGAAACCAGTCTTAACCATCTCAACATATGTTTGATGATGATTTGTTTTGTAACCCCTCTACACATGGAACATTAACTCTTCAATCCTTTGCTTTGAAGCAAATCAAAAAGTAATTCTAATCTATAAATGAAATTGTACTAGTGCCCTAACCAACACAATAAAATTTTCTCATGTTTATGCGATTATATATAAAAAATTTGTCACATTGGCACTCACAGACATAACAGACAACACTGTTCTCTTGTGGCTGTTTTCATAAGAGATCACAGTGGAAAAGTGTTCAGTTGATGCTATTTTAATGCTTCCATAGAATAGACACACATCTAAAGCAGCCACAAGACACTGAATACAAAAACTAGCCCAAAGTAGACCATTTTACTGTTGAACCACTACCTTATCTTTCCAGCCTTGACCCCCCAAACTCACAACACAACAGGAGATCTGTCATGAATTTAAAAATGTGCATGAGTAATTAAAAACATTAAATCTAAAGAAATGCATACCAAATACCACACAAAATAAACAATAACCTAGTCTATTAGATAACCTGACTGAGCCTAAAAAAAAAACCCTCCCATGTTTTACATGATGAATATAAAAAAAGAAATATTACTTTTAGATAAGTGAGTGGAATACAGTTTGTTCTAATGTTCCCTTTTCTTTTCTTTTCTTTATTTTTTAATGTGTATCTAACCATTTTTGCTATGCTGACCCAGGCTTACAAAAGTGGACGCAAACAGCATTACACCACAAGATATCTACACCAAACCCAAAAGCTGCTTCAACACACCCACTGCTTCTTTTGAAGGTCTAAAAACCTACATGACTAGCGAACCTTTAACAGCCACTGTTACGGCGCATGAATGCATGTCCCCTTATAGAATAATACATCTCGATGAAGGTAAGTGACCCTACAGTAATTTCAGAAGGACCTTGCCCCTTAAAGCCAGACTTCTGGTAGAAAGGCACCAGGAAGTCCTCACACATGAGCACAGCACGGCGGACATATGGTAGACAGCGCAGCTACTGCAGGTAACGCCACAGCAGGATAGATCCTTTTCCCTGCTGGCGGAAGGTCCGGTGGACTGCCAGCACATGGATGTGGACAGTAGTTCCATGAGGCTTATGAAGGGTCAATGCATCCTATTAAAAGATATAACTGAAATGAGTCATGTACACCAATTACAAGACACTTAACTACACATCTTTACAAGTTAAATTATAATAATACAGGCATGCCACTTCTTACAATAACAGATGTATGATTTGTTTCTGACAATAACAAATACATGATTTGGATATTAGATTACAGTGGTAAGACGGTCCTGGTCCCAGAGAGATCCAATGATAAAAGCGACAAGCCTCCCCTGTTCAAACCAGCCCAAAGAAAGCTCAGGACAGAGGGTGAGGAAGTGCCGGACTTCATCCAGATGAAGAGGACATTCCCCAGACACAGATATAAAAGCTGAGGGATAAAACGAGAAAATAACTTTTATAAAACGCAAACGCAACATAGTAACCAAATACAGTAATCTACTTATTCATATGTAACACATTTTATAGTTTTACATTTAACATTTAAGTTGTTGCTGTTTTTCTCTTGGGTAATTGTTTCATACACACAAGTAACTGTATAAGAAAATCCACAAAATTATAAAACATGATTTATCTCACCCTCTCTCTCTATTTCGAATACACTGATGGCGTCCTCAGTGTTGAGCGAGCGGAACTCGCTGGCGGGGAGAGTGTGCCGGCGCTGGCGGCCGGGGGAGATTGGAGCTCTCATGTGGATGGGCTTCAGGAAAGGCAGTGCGCTCACCACTGACATTTCTGCTGTTTTGAAATCTCTTTGGTGATTTAAATGAATTAATAAATAATATTCAAATGTCCTTCATATATGTTTGTTTTCCAAGAGCTGTGTCTAAAGTGAATCACGGAGAGGCGCACCATTTATATCTTTTCATCTGCTTAAGATCCATTAGTCACCATAAGCCTTAAACCGGCCCCCATTTCACTATTAATCACTGTCATGTACTATAATTACATCTGTGTCTTTAAGACAGGGGAGTATGAGGCATGATGGGAAGTTTTGTTCATGTTGTTGGTGAATTCATGGCAGAGAAGTAAAGACGCTGTGGGTAAAATGTTAACCAGTCTTCTTGGAGAGTAGGCAGGGGGGCACCAATAATCCTTTCAGCAGTCTGAACCGTTCTCTGTAGTCTTCTGATGTCTGATTTTGTAGCTGAACCAAACCAGACAGTTACTGAAGTGCACAGAACAGACTCGATGACGACTGAGTGTGTGCATCCGTGTCATCGCTATTTGACACCAGATGACACACACGATCTATGTGTTGTTTGTTTGGGCGAAGAGCACGCACGCGATGTCCTCGAGGGGGCAATCTGCGTGCATTGCGAGCGTTTTCCAATGAAAAAGCTCCGTTCTCGTTTGTCTCTCTTTTCGAGTAAAGAGGGGCAGCCATCTGCTTCCCGCGGTTCAGGACCCGCCGCTGCTGAGGCACGGAGGAGAATGAGCTCGTGGGGATCTCAGGTGGACCTGGCCGATGAGTTTAATCAGAATCAGAAAGAGGTTTATTGCCAAGTATGTTTGCACATACAAGGAATTTGTTATAGTGTCACAAGCTTCCAGTACACGGAGACAACAACAACACACAGATAATAAAAATAAGATGTGAATAAAATACACATGCATAAATATAAACCACAAAAAAAGAATAAATTGTATGTACAGGTGTGCTATAGATAGAATAGGAATAGAATAAAATAAAATAAAGTTGTAGGGATGTACTAGGATTTAGGGTGATAAATAAGTATAAGGTTATTGCACATACTTTAATTGCACAATGGGAGAACATTAACTGTTCATGAGGTAGATTGCCTGGGGAAAGAAACTGTTCTTGTGCCTGGCTGTCCTGGTATTCGGTGCTCTGTAACGCCGACCAGATGGCAAAAGTTCAAAAAGGAGATGGCTTGGATGTGATGGATCCAGAGTGATTTTCTGAGCCCTTTTCCTCACTCTGGATGTATACAGTTCTTGGAGGGTAGGCAGGGGGGCACCAATAATCCTTTCAGCAGTCCGAACCGTTCTCTGTAGTCTTCTGATGTCTGATTTTGTAGCTGAACCAAACCAGACAGTTATTGAAGTGCACAGAACAGACTCGATGACGGCTGAGTAGAACTGTTTCAGCAGCTCCTGTGGCAGGTTGAATTTCCTCAGCTGGCGAAGGAAGTACAACCTCTGCTGGGCCTTTTTAACAGTGGAGTCAATGTGAGTGTCCCACTTCAGGTCCTGAGAGATGGTGGTGCCCAGGAACCTGAATGACTCCACTGTCGTTACAGTGCTATCCATGATGGTGAGTGGGGGGAGTGCAGGGGGGTTCCTCCTGAAGTCCACGATCATCTCCACTGTTTTGAGGGTGTTCAGCTCCAGGTTGTTAAGACTGCACCAGACAGCCAGCTCTTTAACCTCCTGTCTGTAAGCAGACTCGTCTCCATCCTTGATGAGACCGATGACTGTAGTGTCATCTGCAAACTTCAGGAGCTTGACAGAGGGGTCTTTAGAGGTGCAGTCGTTGGTGTACAGGGAGAAGAGCAGTGGGGAGAGGACGCAACCCTGAGGGGTGCCAGTGCTGGTGGTGCGGTTGTTGGATGTGAATTTACCAATTCTCACTAGCTGTTGCCTATCTGTCAGAAAGCTGGTGATCCTTTGACAGATCGAGCTAGGGACAGAGAGCTGGGTTAGTTTGGTCTGGAGGAGTGTTGGGATGATGGTGTTGAAAGCGGAGCTAAAGTCCACAAACAGGATCCTCACATAAGTCCCTGTTTTGTCCAGATGTTGCAGGATGAAGTGCAGTCCCATGTTGACTGCATCATCCACGGACCTGTTTGCTTGGTAAGCAAACTGCAGGGGGTCTAGTAAGGGTCCAGTAATGTCCTTCAGATAAGCCAACACCAACCTCTCAAATGTCTTCATGACCACAGACGTTAGGGCCACAGGTCTGTAGTCATTAAGTCCTGTTATCTTGGGTTTCTTTGGGACGGGGATGATGGTGGAGCGTTTGAAGCAGGCAGGGACTTTGCACAGCTCCAGTGATCTGTTGAAGATCTGTGAGAAGATGGGGGCCAGCTGGTCAGCGCAGGTTTTCAGACAGGCTGGTGTCACACCGTCTGGGCCTGGTGCTTTTCTTCTCTTGTTCTTTCTGAAGACCTGGTGCACATCATCCTCACTGATCTGAAACGTAGGAGTGGGGGAGAGGGGGGTTGCAGGAGGTGTTGATGGTTGTGTGGAGAGATGTTCAGAGCGGGTGTGGGGTGTTAGACTGGGAGTTTCAAATCTACAGTAAAACTCATTCAGGTCTTCAGCAAGTTGTTGATTGGCCTCAGTGCTGGGGGATGGTGTCTTGTAGTTGGTGATGTCTTTCAGGCCTTTCCGCACTGTTGCAGGGTCGTTGGCAGAAAACTGGTGTTCTAGTTTTTTAGCGTAGTTCCTCTTATCCACTCTAATCTCCTTATTCAGTGTGTTTCTGTCCTGATTGTACAAGACTCTGTCCCCCCTTTTGTAGGCGTCCTCTTTGGCCTGACGAAGATTATGAAGTTTTGCTGTAAACCATGGCTTATCATTATTGAATGTTAAATGAGTCCTGGTAGGGATGCACATGTCTTCACAGAAACTGATATATGATGTTACAGATTCCGTGAGCTCGTCCAGATCGTTGGTGGCAGCTTCAAAAACACTCCAATCAGTGCAGTCGAAACAGGCTTGTAATGCCTGCTCTGTTTCGTTGGTCCATCTCTTTACAGACTTTACTACAGGTTTAACAGATTTAAGTTTATGCCTGTAAGTCAGTATAAGATGAACCGGCAGTGGTCAGAGAGTCTTACAGCTGCTCTGGGGACCGAGCGATATGCATCCTTTATTGTGGCGTAACAATGGTCCAGTATATTACTGTCTCTGGTGGGACATGTAACATGCTGTCTGTATTTTGGCAGTTCACGGGAAAGATTTGCTTTATTAAAGTCCTCGAGAATGATTAAAACAGAGTACGGGTGTTGTTGCTCTGCCTCTGTGATCTGATCAGCCAGTTTCTGTAAAGCTGAGCTCACGTGCGCTTGCGGAGGAATGTAAATACTCACGAGAATGAACGAGTGAAACTCAGACTCAACGCGCTGTCCGGAATGGCGTCTTTCAGCCAGGTTTCCGTGAAACACAGAGCAGCAGAGTGTGAAAAATCCTTATTTGTCCGGGAGAGCAGAAGAAGTTAGTCCATTTTGTTGGGTAGAGAGCAGAGATTCGCTAGATGAATGCTAGGCAGCGCCGTTCTGAATCCGCGCTTCCTGAGCTTCACGAGCACGCCGGCTCTCTTCCCCTGTCTGCGCGTCCTGAAGCGCTTGATCAGCGCCACTGCTCCGCCAACTACAACATTCAGCAAAACGTCCGAATAAACTAAATCCGGTAGAAGATTGTGTGGTGTGTTTTGCCGAATGTTCAGCAGCTCATCCCTGGTAAAACTGATCGTGTTTGAGAAACAAAAAAGCAGGAAAAACTAACAAAAAGAGTACAAACACTGGAGAGCAAAACACTGAGGCTGCCGTCTGCGGCGCCATCGCATAGCATATATAGTATGACCAACACAATATTAGATAGATTAAACATAAATGTTCATAAATGTTATTTTCAGTAGGCCAGGCCTATATGTTACAATGAAATTAGGTGATGCATGAATTTATATGAATTACATTTTTATTTAACAACTACAATCACAGTAGTATATTGACTGATTTGTTGAACTTACAACCTTGTAAGCATGTAATAATTATGACAACATAAAGCACTGACAAATAAGCCTGGTGTAAACATTAATATGAAAGTCAGTAACAAATCACACAAACTAAAGTAGATAAAAAAAAATAAAAAAATAAAGTAGAAATAAAAAACTAATCTGTTGCTTTACCACACTACTTTAGGTAATTCAAAGTCACTGTAATAAACATATGTAAACACGTGGACTGCACTTTTTAAACACTGTCTGTTAACTTTAGACAGACTTTAAATAAATAAAAAAGAATATATATTACTTTATTATATATATTATCTTAAGGTCGAAGTCTTCAGTAATGGAATGCACTGTAACACTGTTACTGCTTGAGTAATTTCAATGTGCCGCTTTAAAGTACGTTCATATATATGCTTTCAAACATTTCCGCGTGTAGCGTGCCAGGGTTGCCAAGTTTTCACAACAAAACCCACCAAATTGCTACTCAAAACTAGTCCAATCGTGTTTCGAGGGGGTTCCACCGGTAAAAACCGTGTTCCAGGGGGTAAATACACGTTTTTTGGAGGGGTTCCTCAAACTGCGGACTTGACAACACTGTAGCGTGCCAACTTGATGCTTCCTCTGAAGACTTCTTAGATGTGTTCGACTTGAAGCAGCGTTGCTTAGACCGATCGTTGTGTGTCATGAGAGCATGAGAGCTATAAGAGAGCGGACGTCTCCTTATGCTTTCTCTCACCGTACTTTGATGTCATACACTGATCGATCTTCAAGTCGAACACACCTCTTTACTCTCGCGTGTCACATGACAGAGTGTAATCGCAGCCTCTGCGGTTGAAAAATAGCGTTTTTTCATATCGCGATATTATCGCAAATGCAATTAATCATTCAGCCCTAGTGGAAACACACCGGGTACCGGCCCAAAGTTTCTAGTTCCTGGGGAAAGTTCCTGCGGTGGAAACGGGGCTATTGTTTTTATTTGTCACACGTCTATAAGATGCACGTTTCTGTGTGAGTTTGTTGGGATCGGAACATCTTTAAAGTCTGCTAGTGTGTGATCCTCAGTCGTTTAGTGTATGGTGGCCAGTTTTCCTCTGTGACTATTTACAAAGTT